GGGCCGGGGTTCACAAAACAACCACCCTCCCCGCGGGGGGTCGCCGTCGACGGCCGAGGACGCGCGCCGCCCCCAGACGACGCCCCGCACGTCGCACTTTTGCGCCGGGCCCCCCGGGCCCCACGGGGTTCCTGACGGAACACGTGCTTGGCGCCGTCGTCGCGGCGCCGGGCGGCGGGGCGTGGACTGTGCGGCCGCGGCTCACGCCGTGGCTGGGCTGGGTCCGCGGCGGGTTCGCGACGGCGAGGGGCCTGTTCGAGGTCAGGGTCGCGAGGGTCGTGGCTGTTGATCGACGGGGAGACGTCATCAGGGGAGGTGGACAGGTTGTTGAGATGACGGCACCCGGAGGGACAGTGGGCGGGTTTGTGTGGGATGACGATCAGCCCGAGATTGACTTCAGAGGAGGCAAGACTGTGGCTTTCATCGTGTGGGAGGATCGTGTTGGTTCTGCGCCGCCGGTGGAAGCACTTGATGTATCGCCTGGGCGGAGGACCGAGGCCGATTGTGAGGAGGAGTGGTACCTTCAGGTCATTCTCTACCAGAATGACATGCGGCTGGTGTACGACAAGAATTTAACTGCCCTGCCATAACAACGGTTCATATACGAGGGCGAGGAGCAACTCATAATACGCATAACACAGCGCGTTGACACAAAAGTAACAAGGCAAAGCCAGATATCATTCTCGAGTCTTCATACCTCAACCAACGCCATCTGTTATCCTACCCATACACGTTATTTGAACGTCAGTCAAACCCCTGAACTCCCGTCCACAGCTAGAACAATTTGCCGCCTCGCCTTGACCCGCAGACTGTCCATCCCAGCTGTACCTGCACAACCAAAGATCCATGTATCCAAAACGCCTACCTAATACAGTAATTCACCACTCTCTGTCATAGCCAAAAATCGGTCATCAGGCTCCTCAAACCTGTAAGATCCACCCCTGAAAACACGGTCCACCTCTTCCCTCACGAATGGGTATACATCCTTCCATGCGTTGCGTCCCATCCAGCAGTCCAGATGCCCGTAGTCAGGGACCACGCGTCTCCGGTACTGGATGCCATCATCGGGGTTGCCGCCGCTGGATCCGAACACATCACACAGTGTCTCATACGTCCGCTCTGTTGCTTCTGGTGTCAAGACGGCGTTGTCACGACCCACGAAGAGCAGAAACGGGATGCCTCTGAGGCGACGGATATTCCGGTCAGTCGTGAGGCGCTGGAACAGCGGGCCGTTCGTCATGACGTGGCCGTCGAGGCCTTGTTTCATGAGGAGATGTAGTTGCGTCATGTTGACACCGCCAAAGAACCGGTCGATCTGCCGATGCGTCGCCTCATTGAGGTTCCGGTGGTTCCAGCAACGCCCAAACACGAGCGTGCATCGGTGACAGCTGGCGTTGTTGCAAATCTCGGCGCGCTCCTCTGGGTAGAAGCGCAAGACCTCATTGAGCATGCGCTGGAAGAAGCTATCATCCTTTGCGGTGCTGCAAGAGAACCAACTGCCGAGCACCGTCCTATAGGCTCTGTCCAGAGATACCGGCCCCACGAGGGCCTTGGCAGAGTTCAACCTACTCCACAGTGGGTTCATGAAGACCTGGCTGGCTGTAATACCGAGGATCCAGTCGCTCGGGATAGTCCCGTCCAAAAGGCCGGTGGAAAAGGCCACGCTGCCCATGCAGTGCGCGATGGCATAGATTTTGTTGCCCTCGGCATTGCCGTCAGCATAGTTCTCCCGGATATACTCGAGGCAAGCGCGAAGGTCCAGACGAGCGTCATACGTCGTCCAGTTGTTCTGCGCTACCATGAGCTGTCCGATGCGATGTACGGGAATGAAGACTCGGTAGCCAGCCCGCGTGAAGTAGTTGACCGCGTTGTATTGGATCGTGGGCAGCGCGTAGATCTGGTGGTCCACTGCCGCTCCAGGTATCATGATCAGGTTTTTCGTCTCGATGTCAGGGTTTGTCGACTCCCACATATGCATCTTTGTCTTGACATTGTCCTGCGCTACAATGACAAAGGACGCGTCTGTCGGCGTATCGTTGACATAGCCATTGTAGCTCACACTTGGGTATTGTAGTGGCGTGAACGGCCCTAGGAAGAGCGAAAGAGACTTGCGAGTGAAGTACGTGAGGAAGCTGGCCGCGCTGTAGGCCTTCTTCAAGAGGCTGCTCCCCGTAGGCGTCATCGTCATGATCTGCGAGAAAAAGTCGGAAGGCTGGATATGCATGATGCCCTTGGCCACGACTTTGCCGAGTCGCCACGGCTCCTCGCAGTTTTCGACTGTATCAAGGTCGTGACACGGCTCCAGGATGGTCACATACAGAGTGCTGGTAGCCCTCCAGAACTGGAACGGAGCCAGTGCCACGGACGAGTCAACAACTTTATAGCCGTGGAAGTGCAGTGTCCTGCCATCAATGCCGCGCATGTCAAAGTCGTAGGTCATGTTGCGCGTCCCTGGTGCCTTCTGGTCAAGGATGAAGAGATTGAAATCTCCTCGTTGTACCATGAACGGTGAGCCGGAGATGGCAGGGCAGACAAAAGTGCCGGTCAGCATTGCCGAGTGGTCCGGCTCCTGAATGGTCGACCTCGTGTTGAATGCTTGTACGCTGAGGAAGAAGCGTGCGCTCTCGCAGAGGCTTTTGGCCGTTCGGTATGCCAACTCATAGGTGCTACGTTTGTCGCCGGTGAGTCCAGTGTCGCGGTGCACGAAGCCAGACATGACCTCGGTAAAGCCAAAACCAGCGGCATTCGAAACCATGGCGCGTGAAATCTTGGAGCTTGCCTCCTTGATCTCCAGCGCTTCCGCATCGAGCTTTGCTTTCTTCATCTTCTGGGGTGAATATTTTGGCTCGCCAAAAAGATCAATGATACCATTGCGCTTTTCGTGGATCTTGAGGTTTTCCTGCGGATGAAGTGATCAACTGAGCGTTCCGCGAGGGCAGTGATGGTGGCGAAAGGATTGACACCGAGAGCAGCGGGAATGACGGGAGCATCTGTGGAGATGAGGGCGCCGCGGGGTTCCCCCCCTCTCTCCTGGGAAAAAAAAGCCCGCGGGTGTCGTCACGCCCGTCTCGGGGCTGCCATCACGTGCCATGCAAGCACCACTGTCAATTTGTATTAGCACGAGTCCATACCCGAGATGCCTTTCACGCAACATACCCAATGGGGTGAACGGTGACCTGCTGGTTGCCCATCAAGGCATAGAATGGGTTGTGTACAAATGTGCCGCCAACGGCCTGCGTCGCCTTGCTGAGGAGATCATGCAGCTTCTTGACCTGATCGCTGCGGCCTACGCCGAGGAATTCCAGCACGGGCTTGTCGTCTTTTAGGGTCAACATGGCTTGGCTGCCTAGTAGCGGGTGTTAGTCGCAAGTCGAAGACAGTTTCGTTTGAGGCACACTCACTGTCATGTGACATGACCAGGTATACCTGGGTGTTGTCCAAAGAACCGCCCTGGGCATAAGGCCCCAGAAACGACTCTTGTAGTTTGCGAGACTCGAGCGAACCTTCTCGCTGAAAGAATCGCCAGTAGGGGCCTGGTTGCCAGGCATCATCTCTAGGAGGGTTTGGAGGAAGGGGGCCAGGGCGCGAGGGATGGCGCCCTCTTCGATGACATAGCCGTCAAGCGGATTCTCGTGACCCGCACGATCGTCAATGATGGAGTTGATGGTCGGCCCAATAGGGTTATAAGGATTGGGGAAGGGCTTGCCAATGGCGTTGGCTTCGTAGTCGGTGTTGTATCTCGCATACAGTTAGTTTAAGGGGGGGCGGCGGGAAAGAAAGGTGGCGACACTAACCCAAAAGCTAGCATATCGCCGTTGCCGCTCATGTTCTGTCCGACACGGTCACTCATGGGAAGACCCATCTCCTTGCTTCGAAGGAGGATTTCCGTGGTTCCAACTGAGCCGGCGCCGAGAAAGACACACTCTTTGGCGTGTACCCACATGAGGTCGTCGTGAAGGTTCGCCTTGAAGTGGCCCCTGTTCCGGCCATGCCAAGCAAAGTAGATGATGTAGCCCTCGCGACCCTCAGCCTTCTTGATGTAACGGACCTCACATTCGCAGAACATCTCGGCACCCCAGTTCCAAGCATCAGCCAAGTATGTGACGAGAGTCGAGTTCTTGGATCCATCATTGACACCGGTGCAATCTTGTCCCGTCAAAGCAGAGGGCGCCATTTCAACGCCAGTGCTATTGGGACCGTTGCGGAATCGCGTCGTTTGGGGCACCATTCTGAACTTGTCAGCCATGCCGAGAGCTTCGGCCTGTTTCTTCAGAAGCTGGACCTTGGGCAGTTCGGGCCAGTCGTCGGGATATGGCATCGGCTCGAGCACTTTTCGGGCCCAATCATAGTCTGCAGATCAATCAGCTTGTGCTGGTCAACTAATAGATGGACATCACTGTTGAGGCTCCGAGGAGACTTACATTTATCGAGACTGCTAGGGTCCTTCCTAATTTCCTCAGGCCAGACCGGCATAGACAATGTCTCCTTGTCTGCCTCCAGGAAGACATTGGCGTTCATCAGACTCGTACCGCCGAGGGCTATCTAGCCGGTAAGCAAACGCGATAGATTGATGGTGAGAGAGAGGACAACATACCATTGCAAACAACCGTGTTCAATCCCCTGCCAAAGATGAGGTGGTACATTCCGGTGGGATCGCCGTTCTGCACCATGGTCTGCGGGAACCAGCCCGGAGCAAACTGGCCAGACACGTGGACCTCGTCGAGAGCGTCCAGCACGCCGGAGGGATATTCGCCAGGCACACTTCTCCTTGCCGCGCTCGAGAACGCAGACAGACTGGCGCTGA